TATATATATATATATATGTCAAACTGACTGCGGAGTTATTTCCGCACAAGTTTTCATAAAGCTGCACTGATTGCACATATTTGCTGAATGGTCAGTTTCTACCGAATACCACGACCGTCGTTACAGTACGTGCCAGTATTTGAGGCGGCAAATCTCATCTCCCGTCTCACTAGTAGATTAGTACCAGTCTAATTCCGCTAGGAAATATTGGGATGCTCTCATGGATGGTTTAGCTTAGTCTGTCCTCGTTTTGCTCTATCAAGTTAATCGAAACTGTCATGTAAGAAATGGATGGAGAATAGCAACAGCAACGTACTAGCTAGTACTTAACATGATTATTCATCAATTTTTCTCGTACATGCTCTCCATTCTGCATTCCACACAACACGATTCTATTAACTCTCCTAGCTGGTGTTTGTTTCCCCCACAAACACCGAAAGATTTAGTCAAGCCACGTCCGAACGAGGGTGGATTGAACAAAAACGAGGCTATCGCATGGTTCGCCTACGTTTATCCCCGTACAAGACTACCCGACTGGCCCCAACCTTACGAACCTATCGAGCTACTCCAACGTCCAGGGGAAACAGTGTTCATTCCCGGTGGTTGGTGGCATGTTGTTCTCAACCTGACCGACACAATTGCCGTCACGCAGAACTTTTGCAGGTTTGTTTTAGGTTATGTGATCGGTTCCCAAAGCTTGTTTCTGTCTCCAGAAATCGACGTCCATAACAGATGGCTCATCGAACGTTTTTGCTCACAGCTTACCTGTTACTTTCGTAACATCACGGATGCCGAATCATAGAGGCAGACTTTTGAGTGTTGGGAGTTCTAGTGTCGAGGGTGGTTTGGCGAAGTTGGTTCCTACTAGAGGACGAACCGGTTCCATGAATATCCCCAATTGCAGTCATCTCACCAGTTAATTGTTGAACGAGGTAGCTTGCAATCTAAACAGCAGGGTCCTCGATAATCTTTTGCGAACAGTCCGTTGATCCCTTTCGTAAAAATACACTGTTTTTCATGTGAGAATCTAATGAGCAGAAATGTAGCNAGAGCGTTTGGATCGATCACAGGGAGCTACAATTCAAGAGAGCTGGTGTTGCCAACTTGCGCCTTAATCATGTTTCGTTCTTTGATGCTTGATCGGAAGCTGATCGCTCCCCTGGGAACCTGCAGCATGGGGATGGTGAGGACTGCAGTACTGTAATGGTAAGATTACCGGTCAAGCCCGTAGGACACACAGCAAAACATGGCCCGAAGTGGTTGCTCTTCCGCTAGATGACAATTAAGCTTTCATGTATGTACTCTACAATTCCATGTTTATATTCAGTAGTGCATGAACGACGCATAATGCCGTCTATTTTCAACAAAGATTGTTTTTAGGTTAGGAGGCTGACTTCTTAAGTTAGTGTGGGGAAACATTCCAAAATATATGGGGACAGAGCGTCTGCTGTTTTAGGAAGCGTGTTGAACTGACTTGAACGGTGATTGCATGATTGAGTGAACGATGCTAAGCTTCGCAAAAGGGGAACTCATTAAATGGGAGCCAAATTTGAATCAATTCGCTCTTTTGTGGTATACTTTTGATGTACAGCCTCCATGCAACAGGAAGAATAAAATACTTTCAGATTGTCCAGTCTATGGAGGGGCCTTAACAGTATGTCGAGCTCTGAATCAGAACAGAGTGGTCGGGGGAGGGCACCTAACCGATTAACGGACTGTGGAGTGTTCTTAAATATAAAAGGAAGCAGAAAATTCGGCAGACGTTGAAATGAAAAATACGCACACAGCAGGGGTCCGGAGCTGGACGTGGACCCCTACCTTCTCGCTCACTATACGAGTGCTGTAACAACTGAACTTCCGAGGGTACGTCCTATCGGTTACACGTATGGCCTTAAGGCTCATACCTCATTCATCGAATCTGTGCCTTTTATTACTCACGTTCGTGGTTCAGAGAGGTAAGGACGACACTTAGATAAGTTGTGTAAAGTAGTTTGGCACTTCATATGTGAACAGTTTCGTGATACGTGCAAAATGAGTAACTCATGGATGAAGCAAGCTGTTGAATATGATTGGGGAGGGAGTTTGGCAGATGAACATCAACCCAGGTCTTGAAAATTAGAAGGCTACAAGCATTTGTTGATACATGAAATAGAAGGGAATCCCATAGACGGACAGTTTTGGGGATGAGTGAAACTTGATATCGGCGACTTGAGAGTGGATTAACTCATGTTACTACGAATTCTGTGTATAACTTCCAAAACGGACTGATTTTGATATCATCTAACTGTCGAAAGTTTGGAGTAAATTTTCAGGAATGAGAAGAGAACCCTATAGAACTTGAGATGTGAAACTCGCTATGCGAGTCAGTAGAATACACGTCCGGTTAGATAGTGATTGGTGGTCTGAGTTCTGGCATTTCTTCCGTTCGTGCTTTGTATCCGGACCTCGGGTTTCAGGATGATTCGAAGCAGATCGGTCGATTCATATTCAATCATTCGTCACTGCCCGTAGAGTAGATGATATATGCTGTTGTAAATTAGGAACGCGACACTCCAAAATGGCGGTCGGGTTTTACTGGTAAGGAAAACAACCATAGTAGTCACATCACTACCATTGACAGCAGCCTTACGATCTTATCGATTTTGCATGCGTGCATGATTTGGCATTGGGTAAGCCAGAATAGTTGGTTGGCAGATTTACAACAGTGATATGAATATGGGGAGGAAACAGATAAATAATTGCGAGGAATAGCGAACTGCAACTAGCGGGGATTAAACTGTTCGTTCAAGGAGGGCCGTTCCCAGCCTCCGGACCGGTAGGATTGTTTCCATGTTGTAATCCTTTTTGAATGACTATTACTCATGTCGTCCTGTTGCAGATATCTTATGTCTATTGATAGATTTTCTCGCAGCTCACACCCTTAGCATAGGTAACTTAGTCTAGCTCGGAGATTTGTATGGGGATGGGGCTATTTCTGGGATGGGTGCAGATATACATCTTGAGCAGCTACTGACGAATTACAGACGTTTTGTAGGTCCAAGGCACTATGCCACTCGTTAATCGACCTGGTCCCAGGAGGTTATCATTTACTATGATATCTTCAGTAGGTATCTTTACGTTTTTATCAAGTATAATGCAATTAATACCCTTTTCTTGTTAAGATGTCCGGTTAAATTGTTTAGGATGACGCCACAAACTTCAAAGCGTTTTATAGGTGTAGGGGTGACTAGACATCATGTTGGGGTCACCACCAGGATTACGCGCCCCTCAGAGCACCCTTCATTCATGCACTCTAAATTTCTACCCAGATACTTAAAGATTCCAATCAAGTGATCTCAATAATTTTAACGCAATAACGTGAAAAGGTGATAGACTGTTGTAGCGGAAGCAGTTTTTCCCGCCCATTTTTATGCTGCCATGCTGTGTTAGGCGAATCCGGTTTCCTGGTGCGCTGTTATAACATTTTCTGATCTTGGCAAAAAAAACATTTGGAGATTAAATGCTTTAACGATAGACCCATTGAATCACTCCCGTTTACGCCACTCTTCGAAGAGCTTTCAGCAACCTTATAAGCAGTATACTATGCCCAGAAAATGTACTGATTCTGTTATAGCTCCGTCAACTTTCCCACTGTATGGCATAAGACTGTGCGAGCACGACCGCGGTTCTCAAAGAGTTGGCTTGCAGGACTTCGTGTTCATCAGCCGCACCTTGCAGATATGACCGAAAAAATAGACGTTTCTTGTCCTCTAGACAATGTACCTTCCTCATCCTCTTCCTCCTCGTCGTCGTCGTCTTCATCGTCCACTTGCTCTTCTTGTTCCAAATGCTCCGCGTCACCTCCACGTCGATCGCTGGCTAAGATCTCGGAACATCCCAAACTGAGGCCAAGGTAGTTTTGATAAATCTTACCTTTCGTATTTTCCTCACCTTCACGTGTAAAGTTGATGAAATATTCTAGTATCCTGTGAGAAAACACCGAATGCTTTCTTCCCCCTTAGTTAACGGAAATATGGTTGCTTATGAATATGAACTTCTTTAGATCAAAATGAATGTACCCGATCTTCACTGCCTGTGAACATCTGCAACTGAGACATTAACCAGCGACGCATAAATACGGTGAGCCCGTATGGTGGTCGTGAGGCTCATCACCATGTGCACGCGATTTCTTTGCTACGTATGCGAACACAAGTAAGAGTAGTAAAGAACATGCTCCTGTGTGGAACACATACTTTGGGATGTTATTTTAATTTTCGTAAACTTAGTGCTTACAGAGCTCCCGTGCGTTGCCGCATGCTTTTTGCCAGCTCCACTTCGTTTGTTCCATATTCCGACCGTGACTCGTTCTCACCCCAGCCAAGGCTAGTTCGGATGATGGTGTGGGGGTCACTTCAGGTCACTGTCGACTGTTGATCCTGTGTGAATGGCATTGTCACTGTGGCATTTCACCTTAGGACTAAAGGCGGAGTGGAGGAGTGTTTCCTCCATGGGACATTTCCTCGAGAGGAAATTAAGGGGAGAGAGGTGTTTCCCGATTAAGGACAACGGAAATCATCCCAGGTGGAGAGAGCACTCGGAGAGCACTTTCACCGACTGTAAAAGCAACTATCGACACAATGCCTCAATTTTCCATAATGGTACGACAAAATGTTGAAGGCAGTAAAGCAATATTGTGTGATGCGCTTCTGTAAGCTTTATCCCCTTATAAAGACTGCTGGTTTTGGTCCACAAATACCAGCTCCATGTATTACTGAATTAGAACAGCGTCATTTCAGATCAAGCGCTGCCTGACACGCGTTGAATTCCTAGCCTCTTTGAAACGATGCTTACAGGATTTGCCTAGTTAACTGTTCAAATTTTCTCGATCAACAAATCGGTTACTCACCCCAGGTTTCGGTAGGTCATGCTACTAATCATTGACAAAGATAATCTGTGTGCCACTCGTCAAATGACTCAAATGTTTTTCTCAACCCAGGAAGACAACTCACCGCTAAATGACGTTCAAGACTAAGAAAACATCGTTTATAACCCAGGGCCAGCGCCTATCGTGATCCTCGAATGTAGCACATCGACGGTAGACAACAATATCCATTAACTGCCCATAATAACACTCTCATGGCACGGAATACGGAACCTGATGTGTATTGTGCGTAGCAACTCAAAATCGATCAGAAGCCCAGTGAACAAAGGCCCTTGGACAATCGGAAATGCTACCTGAAAACCACTTTAATTTTGGAGGCAGGGTATGACCAGTCCTGACTGCGTCCACCCGATGCGCTAACTGAACTGACCACATTCTACATTTCTCAATGCGTACGAAACCGAGGCGTAAAGCATTGCCCACAGGAAACTAACCGCTTGGTTGCTCACATGTGGTCGGGTTTTCAACAAAGTTTTCATTATTTCAACCGCACATTGGACTTTTATGAATCGGTCTTCTGATTTCGGTCATTAGAAGGCTGTTTTGGCTATTTTCAGCTTGCAAAGTTATTTGGTTACCGCTTTTGCATTTCTCTCCAGCCGCCCCATATCACCGCGCCTCAAATCGCCATCACCGAAGCGGATGCGCTAGAATTCCAACCAAGAATATCTTCGGCTCCATGTTATCACAGTCAACGAACTATGGAGTTTAGGCCAATGTACCCCGTCCTTGTTTGTCAAACGGATTTTGCTAATTGCATGATATTCAAAAAATATAGGTAATATATATTCAGGTATATTGAATTACGTACCCCTTTCATGCTGTGTTTTAAGCTAAGACCACCTCGCTCATGTTACAATGCATTGCAGTATGCGACCGTGGATGTCGTTATAACGGATTCGACGTGGGAGTACGGCACGATATGGTGCAACTGCATGGAGGTTTGCGACGACCAGCGTCGATGTTGAGCGGTACATGTGCCTAAACACAGGTACTCATTGGTTTTGTTGTCCTGATTTACACGAAGAATTCAAGAGACTTGAGGCGGTTGTCGAAATTCGCCAAGCTGTCGTGTCTCGAAGAACTAAATCAGTTGAGTGTTGCAAGTAAACCATTCGGGGGAACAATACTGCGGTATTTCGAGTGCAACGATACTGATGATCACAATCTGTCCAATGCGGTGTAAACGCGCTGTGACTTCAAATGAATGTCATACACTGACAGCTTGTTTATTGCTTACACGCAAAGCCTGATGGCTCCAACTGGGAGCTTCGTTAGCGCTTGAGTTTGACATTACATCAATCTCACTTAAAGACACCAAGAAGAAGCAGCGAGTGTGCAGTATGTCACCTCACGATTCCGCTGTGTGACGCTTTCAGAGGGCAAGCACGAGGCCCCATTTAGGATGACTAACTGTAAGTCCTAGATCAAAGATTAATTCTGCTGAGCATTTTGAAAGTTGCCGTCCCTTACTTAGCACCAAAACTGGCGCTCATATGGTGGACAGCTCTTCAGTAGGTTAATGCAAGCACGGACACCGTTCGATACGACATAATGCATCTCATAGGTACCTGTGTAGGATATGAACTTCGGTCAATCCTATATGTGCACAATCAAAGAAGCACAATTATGAATAGGGAGCTCTGTTGATGAAAAAGCATACAATAACACGGTGAAAAGGCTTTTAGCAGAAGCTCTGCTGGAAGGGTGGTTAGTGGAAGTGTTCTTCGATCGGCACCTTCCGGATTTCTGATAGACCCCTGTAAGATGAATAAATAACAAAGTCTTAGCCCAAGCTAGCGCACAGCAAGAATTCGTAGCGATGACGCAGCCAATTCACAAGTTACAGCAGATGATGTGATGTGCGATCGGGCGAAAGGTAACACTTACTGGGTATTGCGGGAAAGCATAAAGAAATGCTCTACAAAGTCCGACCGTCCCAACAATTCAACGAAATCTTCATCATGGGTAATTACTATCAGCTGAAAGTTTTTCTGTTGTTTGCGGCTCTTGATAATTCTGCAAGAAAATGAGGGAAAAACATCTTCCTCAATTGTATTCGCGTGGTTGGAAGCTATCAGGTTGCTCGAAAAACCGACCGCATGGTCTGCCTGTGCTTCGAGAATGAGAACTCGAAAAAGCAGCAAAACTAAAGATTGAATGATGCAGATACCAGGATAAAGTATAGAAATGGGGACTATTAGGAGAGAGCTTCTTCATGCAGTCGTCAAGTCGAGGGTTTCGAAACCCTCTACAAAGCTCCACTCACTGCGCCTCCACTTTAGCGACAGCTGTAAAATATGCGTGAGGAAACTACCAAGTGTTTCTAACGTCTACGGGAAGCCAGTAGGATCGTCGTAACAGAAGCATACTTTCAGCCCGCAGTATCTAAAATGGCTCAACAAGCAGGGCTGTTAGAAGAACATCACGAAGGAACTCACTCGACCAACGCATAGGCCAGGCTTTCAATGTTCTCTCTATCTAAGTTCGTCGTCGGTTCATCCAGTGCGAGAACTCCGCAGTGCAGACAAAAAACTTCCGCCAAAGCTAGTCGGATAATTAGACTAGCCAGTACTTTTTGCCCAGCTGAGCAACGGCCGCGCATATCTAAACGGGCCTCATATGACTGTACCGATTTCGATTTCGCTGCTCGACTTGATGCGGTGGGAGCAGCCACGCCACCAGTGGCTTTGACCATCACCACACGGTAGTTGTAGGTTCGACGGGAGCGTGTAGCGTTGGAAGCTGCAGTCGCTGCTTCTTCCTCGCTGCATATCTCGATGTAGTCAATATCTGTTAACATAAAAATCACAACAGACTGGGTCAGTGTACTGGAGGAGAAGCGAGTGGTTGAGATAACAGCTTTCAAAACAAACCACAGAATGGTTGATCTTCCTGGGGGAAACAGTATTCCCAAACTATTCCTTCAGGAAATAGCACAGCTACTTACCTCCCCAGCGTTCACTGGAATGGCTTGCGAATAATAACAATACTATTTCGAGTTTAAAACAGTAAGTAAGCACTTAAGTAGTAGTCTGTTTGTAGCGCTACAAATTTGGCCTTCTCCCTCCAGGCTAATTCAGAATTCACGGCATATGATAACAACAGTCGTCGTTTAAAATAAAAGTTGCGTTTCGTTCAGCTGGACCATATCAAATAGGATTTGTAATCCCCTGAACCTCCTAGTGACCGATTATACTTACAAACCGTGATACAAACAAAAAATTAGACTCACCATTTCCTCGATAAGTACTCCGCCAGAGTTCGCGGATAATTTTGTTAAGGTCGGACATTTTCGCCGCATGATAAGCCAAGATTGCTCTGGGGTACGGAGAAGATAGATACAAGTAAAAACGAATCGCCAATTCGGGAGAAAGGTACGACAGAAACCACTTTAGTTGGGTCCCAAGATGAACAGTAGTTAAGAGGTAAGTATGTGCATACGGTATCCGATTAAAACGCAACACAACAATTACTGTGTGATACACAATACAAAACGTAGTTTACCTATCCAGAGCGTTGTAATAGCGTTCGAGGTCGGAACAGGCTAGCTCCGTGGTCTACAATCGAAAGAGAAACTTTATGAAGGATGTATGATGCACAACACTGAATAGCTTGGTTAAATCGACTCTTTATACATGGGGATTAGTTTCGCAATCCATTTAGAGGTTGAACCCCAGAGTAAATGAGTCTTGATTCGTTTGTGTCAACATCCGCTGTGATTGTAAATGAAAACACGTGCGGGTAAAAATCGAAAGCAATGCAGGGTGCAAACCCCACCGACTGTGGGAGTGTCTTGGTTAATGTACCCTTTGCAACTATACATATGTTTTTCATTTACGAGATGTCTCCGGGCTGCATTTGTATGATCTGCACCTTTTCGTTAGAAATTTCAAATCCTCCGGTAACGACTGAAAGGTGTTCCGATGTGACGTTCCGGTAATTGTGCCTTTCTTGGAGTTGTGCAAATTAAGGGACGCTCCAATCTCATATCGACACCATTTCATATTCTTATAGGGACATTCAGACATAATCCAATCACAAATCCAATTTGTGATCAGCGATATCATTGTGGAGACCTGAAGCAGAATCCATCATTACGCTATCTACTTTATCCAGTATCACATCATATAGTGCGATAAGTGCTATTCAAATCATCTATACCTGTTGGTTCCTTCGGCTTCTGTCCCCACCTAAAACATCCGAACTTTCAACACTGTCAGCAGGATGACCGGCTCTGGGGTTTACAGTCCATTTTGATTTAGTATCACGGAACTCCTAAACCAGCTCCCGGGGGCGAAACGTTGGTAAAACCCTTTGAACTAAGTACAAAAAATCAGTATATTTCACGGTATTCGACGCCATTATTTAGTAAAACTTGACTACGCCTACATCCTGGTACAAGATGAGTTAGTTCAACGGGTCGCAGTTTTCCACTTGAGATAATCAGTGGCAAGATCCAAACACGTTTCAATCCTATTCCGGTTCCATCGACAAATACCTTCAAACAGTTTTCGTCAGATTTGATTGTGTCTAACCGTGTTTTCGGGTGACTATCAGGGCGATGGCAACAGCCCCTGCAGGTAGCTGCGGCATGCTAGCGCTTCCAGCCATATATGCGAAGATCCTCGTCACTTAACGGAACTTATGAGCTGTGTTAAAACAGTCTGTCGCATTTCACTGGTACCTCTCAAGCAATAGCGGTCACAAATTTCGACTGTCTTGAAAACGTAGGGGCCAGGTCTCATATCCATAACATGGGAGGTGGCGAAGTGTATCGCGATGGATTCACACAATAGTACCATTGAGGTTGGATAGCCTTGAATGTTCCTTGGGCGCATTCCGTGATAGTCCCCAATGACCTCCTCCATTATCTCATCGAAAGCACAGAACAGAACAAACAGGTGTCAGATATTCCTTTGCACTTTGACGCGTAAAATGGGATTAGTGGATTCGTGATGTAACCAGATTACAGCTCTTTTAAACGAACCAATGAGCCATGGTTCGGTATTGTGCTTCAAAGAGCAGTGCACGCCCATCGGTTGAGAGTTGCTCAAAGGCCGATAAAGCAAGCTGTCAGTTCTCCTTTGAGTAAGGAACGATTCTCCTGCATTCATCTCAGGATGAATATGTGGCCCGATTTATGTGCTTAAACGCGAGTTTAAGTTGGAGACAAGAGCGAAAGAACCAAGTCAGCGAACATTACCCAACAAAGACCTCAGTAAAGATTCAATATCCGTGTGATCGGTAGTCCAACGGAAACAAGACTGATTGGTATACTCGTGCATTCACCCGTCAAAAGTATATCAAAGATAGCAGTTTTGTTCACCACAAACTCCTGTACTAAATAAACTTTCAGAGCATCAAGGTTCGTGCGCCTGAAATGCGGGCGTTCAGAGGTACGACTCACTGTCCACATAAATCGTAGTGAGTGTACAAAGAAAGCAAAAGTTGCACCTGATGCCGGACAGATTGTCAACAGACCAACGAAAACGTTTATGGGCCAGAAATATTGGAAATGATAACAGGTCGGCTCGACAGACAGTATCTTTTCCATCATTTCACCATGACAAACGTCCTCTTGTAAGTACGCTGGTCAAGCTGTTAGTGAACGGCTCGATTATTCCCATGGGTTTTGGCTGGTGGTTTCTGCTTCACCTTTGATGTACAACAAGTCGCCAACGGAGTAGTTTGACGTTTTAGGTTCTCCTTTCAGAAGTTATGGGGTGTGCTGACGAGCTAAAGCCATGGATAGTTCCGCTGACCGAAGGAAACACGAACCAGTGCGAACATTTTCAAACGTCCCCACCATTGTTCCAGACCAGTAAACTGGTCAGACTGGTCATCGGCAACTCTTGTCATTCCGACCGAATTGGATGTGAAGACGCTCCATATGGTTATATTGGCTAGAAGTTCATGTATGCACTAAGGGCCTCTTCAGCCTTAGTTAAAAAACGCAGACAAATGTGCCACACCAAGCAGTACCGTTGATTAAAGCATATGTAGGTTGTGCAAAACTTTTGACCGAAGTGCACGAAACAACCTACCTTGAGCTGGTACATCATGTCCAAGTATTCTCTGTCCGACTCGGCGTACTTCTCTTTCAGGTCACGTTCGAGGTACTGCAACTTTGCTGTAAGTTGACCCAGTTGATTCGTGACCGCATGTTTCTATTACAAGGAGGAAAACAAAAAGGGTCTGTAAGCGAAATAGGAACCTTCTTTTCCGGGAAACTGTGCTGAAGTTCAACGATGACTGAGATAGAACGTAGGCAGAACAGTGGTTACAGAACCATGGTTACAAAGTTGGGAGACAGTGCTCACCTCGGCTTGGAGTCGTTCTTCCTCTGAGGACAATCGCTTTGTTTCTTTGACGAGGTCTTGATCAGTTCCAGTAACGGAATGGCATGAAGCGAGGCGATTTGAGAGGTCTTCGATGCGCAAGGTCAACTGGCCCATTTGGCTTCGCAATTGTCGCAACTGTACACAGTCGGTCAGCTCACGCTGACGAATCTGGAGAAAATCGATTTGTAAGCAATTATTGGGTGAATTCGGTGGCCGAAAAATACTTTAAACCGATACAAAACGATAGGTATATGTAAGACAACTGTTACGGGATGATATGGTGGCCTGAGCAAAAGGAAACACAGATTTGCCTTCTGAAAAGAGAAAATGTGTTACTCTTCAACAATCGCAGCTCGCCTCATTGTCCGATTTTGAAAAGGTCATCAGAAAGTGCGTTTTAATGCACATCTGAGGCTGATCATAGATTGCCTTCGATTACAACTTATCATATTCTTCGTAGGTATTGGAGATAATGGAAGAAACAATTTTAATAGTCAGTGAAGCTGTGTACCGATTACACCTGACACACCACCAGGGAGTAACTGTTGCGCACTTATGTCACGTCCATGAACCCAGTAATCTCAGCTGGAAGAGTGAGGGATTCCATCTGCTATCTGATGTACCATGAATCCTAGTAGACTCGCTGATATTGTTGCACTGACAAATGGGTAGTTCAGAGTTCCGCCTCACTTGACGGACGGGCGCAAACTCGCACGAAGAATTCATGAAAATCAATTGTACGGCAGCAGTGTAATCCGGCAGCCAGTAGAGCATCTCCAACCATTTTTAAGCCTGATAGACCTGGTCCTCTTCGGCGAGACCAGTTTCAGTAGTCCCTTGAAGTAGTTAGGAAAGAAACTGACCAACCCGTTTATTTTTACTTGTTTTTACCAATAACAGATACCTTTTTTCAACCGGGCAATCCGGGTTATTGCAAGCAGTGTGGTGCAGATATCCCTCTGTTCGACACATGAGAGCAGTCCGGTATTTTTTTCGAAAAGTAAGTAAGAAAGCGGAATGGCATTGGTGAGATGTTGAAATGAGAGTCCCAAGTAAACTTAATATGAACGAAAAGACACCTGTAGACGGTTTCGAAACATCGACCTCGTGCTTAACGGATCGCAACTGGTTCGGGCGGTCAAGAGTCATCAGCGTCCGGTTGTTGCATCTATTCATCTTTGTAATTCTAGAACAGTTTTGAATCATATACTGGCCTCACTGGAATGGAACATCAGTGCAACAAGCTGTTTTTCCGTTAATGTCCACGAAAGCAAAAAAAAGCCGAAAGCCAAACATGGAGATCACATCCCGGATGTCATGAATCCCAATGTCATCTACATTCTGAACGTGCAAGATATGACGGTCGTCCCAGTGTGCGAAGCGCGCCAGCGACTGCATATTCCGGGCCAGTGCAGTTGAAAAAAACTGTATCGTCCACGTTTCGTTTGATATGGACTCTGATGAGAGTGAAGGGAATTGTTAAGGAAAACAAATTCCTAGCGTATATTTGTAAAAAGACGGACAGCACATCCAATGTACCAGAGCTAGGCTGCAACAGTAATCAGCCAATGACAAACATTGAGAAGTAAAAGAATCAAATAGATGACAAAAATAAACATTCAGCGGAAAAAGACAAGCTGCCATTACCTTGTGCTCATGCACTTGCTGGCGAGCAAGTTCCAGGTCTTTCGTGTTTCGCTCCGCGACTCCATGCAAGTGGGCAATAGCTTGCTCAAGATTCGTCAACTGTTGTTGAACTTGAGCTAACTTGTGCTTTGAACCAACTTTCGAAGCTGTAGAAACAGCAGCACATGCTTGGTCAACTTGACGGATGAGGTCGCGCAATTTCCCGGTCTGGATGAAACGCATGCAGAACAGTAAGACGGATAAATTCCTGAAACCACAGTGGGATATACGTTCGGAGACTAAAGTCGAAGTGACGAATGTAGCCTGTGGTCTTCTAATGAACTCGTTTTCTTACAAATACATATACACACTGGTCCACCACCAGCTTTGTCACGTTTCTTCCCAATAAATTCTTGAAAACAATCGCTATTATCTGTTGTTTGTGAAACTGTGGTAAACAATAAAATCTTGAATGAGTGACAACCATGAAAGACCCTCCCAAAATCTCACAATACGTGCTCATCATTGTGCATTGTAGAGTCAGATTCACAGACAAAATACAACACGTCCATACTCCGAGTTGTGAAAAGGGAGTATCCTCGTCGAATATCCGCGTGAATAAGCCAAGCAGATCAGAATATTCTGTTTGTTAGACGAGGGTTTTTACTCGCCGCATGCGTACTTCAAACGCAGATGACAACATTGCTCTTGGGGTGACGCAATCCCCACCAGGTAGGACCATATAGAACCCTAGACTCAATTACTAATTACTCAATTACTAAACGATACATTTGAAGAAGTATTACTGTACTGATGAGGGGTTGAAACACCTTGATCGGTTTTCCACGGCAAAACCCATCAGACTCCTGCAAACTACATCTATTGGCCACCTGGCCACCCAACCAGACGTAAAACTTACCTTTTCTGCTGATTCTTCAAGTTCTTTCTCCCGGGTTGCCGAACCAGCAGTCCTCTCACTTACGGCGATGTGTCTCGCCTGCTTTGCTTTCGGAAGCTCATGTGATTCCAGTTCTTGAAGCCGTTTCTGAAGCTGTTTTTCGGTGTCACTCAGGCGAGCGATGTCATCAGTAAGACGCAGATTAGTTTGGTTTTCCTGCTCCAACTGGATAAAACACGAATAAAGATGTGGAATTAACTCAGGTGGGTAGGGCTCTGATGAGGAAACAGAAAGTCAAGCTGGTGGTCAGTATGTCCTGCGACTATGATCCAGGAGCAAAATATGGTTGAGTGTACGAGGCTGGAGTTTTAAAAGTTTTGCAGCTATGGTGTCCAAATGTCTGAGCTCAATGTTAAAGGGAATGTGCAGCCGAAGGGAAGAATCTAAGGACCTAAATATAACCCGAAAAGGAATAGCTTTTGGTCCCTTGTGATTTGGCCCAAATCCAGTAAACCTGTGCACTGTCGGACAAGATGTCGATGGATGATGAATTACCGTGTTATAAGCTACTAAAATACGGAGCAGAGTCCAATCAGCGAGTTCAGATGGACACGACTGGAAGCGCCTGAGGGAGGTTGCAAATAGAAGACAGGGTGAACTGGTGCGAACGTTAGGCAACAAGGCACTTTGTTAGGTTTGCTTGCTGTTCCAGGAACTAAATGCTGGTACGCTTTCAAAGGTACTCAGGTTCCTCAACAAACAGCGCTCACCTTATGTAAGTTATCCTTTATTCGATGCACCGTATCAGTTGCGTCACGTTGAGCTTCGTCCAACTGCTGCACATGATCCTGTAGTCTAGTCATTTCCGAAGTCACCGAAATTCTGTGAAGCGTGTAGATAAAGAGCGTACAAGATCTAGTATTTTACCATGGTGTTCTCTTGACGTTCCGTGCTTGTGCTACCCATCAAAGTGTTTGACCAACTCAGCGCAAACACGTTGAGTTCGCAGATACAACAGCCACTGACTACTTGTGCAACCTGACAACCTTGTCCGAATACCTACTTATTCATGTCCTACTGCTTCTTACATAAAAAAACATGAGGCTGAGCAGTCTATGACGACATTTTACTACCTTGGAGAAAACTGACACGTGTTAACGGACTACGCAACGATGATGTGTGGGTGGATCGAATGAAAGAAACAGCGTTAAAAGTGTTTGATCTAGGCTTCACTAATATAACATTAGTGTTGGTTAGAGCTTCAGTCCTGTACTTCATTTGCATGCGACCCCGGGTATACACAGTTGGTTTACCCGCATTGGTTAAACCAAAACCACGTGAGATCCCAGGTGTGATTCCTGGTCTAATCAGTACTTGGCTAATTCAATCATATGACTGCTGCTGGACAAGCAAGAAGTTACAGCTGATTGGTCATCGATCCCCGCACGATCGATGTGCATTAACTACGACAGCCCGTTGTCAGTGTCGCCCTATTCTGAGCTTATCAGGAAAGCGTGGCTATGAGGTCCCCTAACTTTTTACTTGGACACCAAATTAGGCCTGATTACCGCTTACCGCTGCATCAGTAGCAAGCACTGAATTGAAACAGAACTCAAAAATTGGGGAACCAACGCAGTGTTTCGACTTAAGGTATATATCATGCCGGGAAGCTCTAGGACTGACGTTTCAAAGCATTAGTGGTCTGAAATACATGAAACTGTCGGCAGAACAGAGAACATCTATGAGTGCGGTGAGTTTGCATTAGGTCTTGAGTGACTGCGTCGAACTGGCGTCGACTGGCGCAATAGTGTCTTATCCGCTGGATCAACGCCAGTGACTTCCCCATTGCGACCACATGGTGGGATATAGTGTCATGGAATGACAAAACTTGTCCCAATCAGGCTATATGACCTTCGGCCTCAAGTACGCTTTTGGGGGCTCAAATGTCACTGCGATGTGCTTACAGCATGTTAAGTTCAGAACCACAAAAATACGGCTGCACGGTCATTCCGATGCAGATGACACGATTTATCAATATGAAAACTGCGCTGCGAGCTGTCAAAGTCATCCGAACAGGTCAGTTTGGAACGAACATTCAACAATACGCATTTGATCACTAGGCTGGGATCCTCCTCAACAGAGTGTTGCGCTGTATGCTGAAACACGCGAATTTCACCTGACTCATTTTTGAAAAGCCTGAATGAACATCAACAACATTCTTGTATCGAAGTGAGCCATTATAATCAGATAGCATTGAAGGGAGGAACGGACCCAGTTCACCGGCCTCAAGGAAAACACACAACTAAGGCTTGTGGGAATTGCCACTATACGGCATATGGCAACGTAGGCACGGGGAGGAGGTATTCCACGTATGAATACTAGAGCACAAAAGTTTTGTTTGTATGAGGACTTCCAATGCCCAGAGGTTACCGTATGCCGACTCAGCCAGCAAAACGAAATACGGACGGGAATCAAGCAGGGGCACACTCGAACATTTGCTGTTGAACAGCCAACTAGCAATGAATCAATTGGTCACGTGGCAGAAAAACCTTGCATGAAAGACCTGCACCTTGTGTGCAAACATACATCGTAGATTGTTGCGTTATCTTTCCTATTCAAGCGCTCTTGGTTATATTGAGGTTATAGATTGTGTATTCACCAGCGATTTTCGTTCACAACAGCACGCTGGCGTCGGTATAGGTTTAATGAGAATGGGATGCAATGAGTGTTGAATCACTTTCAGTGCTTATGTGCTCAGCTGCACACTGCAAATCAGTAATGTAGCGTTAAAATGGTTGCGGCGGCTACTTTTGTTCCGGTACATTCGGAACGCAAAAAGAACACTCCCGTGTTGGACAACAGACCTACACAACTTGATTAGTGTACGGACAAAGCGACCACAGGGGTGGAAGGGGTGGGCGTCCGGCTTACAGGATCTTGTATCCGCCCACAACCTCTTGACCAATATAGGTTTTTCAAGTCAGCCGGAGAGTCGTTCTCGTCCTGTATATGAAATTACGCTTTCGGTTGACCACGTGGGTTTGAGGTCACTTGTGGAGGCCAGGTAGTAGCTGGAGGGTTCGCGACGCTCTGATTTACCAAATAGAACTGCTTATTCAATTTTCCGCAAAAAGCATGAGGTGGCCAAAAGAACCAGAGTTTCTCGATGACCTGACAATCAATACTACAGTGGAATTTTTAACACCAGGTTACTCATTCTGTAACATTTCAGACTGCTTCTTCTCTTATGACTTGGCATGTAAGAGGAGATAGTGAATATATCTGGGCAAAACGAGTCTCAGTCCGTGTACACGTTGCAGTGAACTGCGTAGGACAAACATTTTCCGAAGTACTGTCACAAGTGACTCAAAATAAAAATAAAACAAATTTGCATTTTACATGTCACTTACTGTTTATCACGGAGTGTTCTTCGTTCTTCCTGGAGGGCATCCACGGTCTCGGTGCCTGTCGAACAATACACGGAACATGACACAACGTTTATTGTGGTATCATTGTGTCTGCTTTCCCAAACCCTTACCTTGTCTGAACCCACTGTTTTCTGTGTCTATCTCACAGATTTGACACGCACCCATAAAATCCCTCATGAACTTTTGACCCTTGATATATTGAAGCTTTTTTTGGTGGGTTTTACGCGCGCCTTTTGACCACTTACATTAGTATGTGTTGTGCGCACACGTTTATGGCTAACTCAAACCGATCTGCCGTTCTCTCCAGGTATGCTGTTTTTATAACGTCCCAGAGACTTTTAGGATTTTGTTGGGTTTACTAATTCATAAAGCAATTTAGACGGAAATCCCCGTGATTTGCCATTGGTGTCCCTTTCATATACGTGTTTCGTACGCGTGGTACAGCATCTTATTGACAAGTCTCAAGACATCGTGATTCTCGGCTTGTGGTTTCGTGCGTCACTCAGTTGAGCTCTTCAGAATACGTCGAGTACTCTACAACAACCTGGTTAGAAACAGTGATTTCCAGCCCTAAGATTCCTCGCAGTGGGTGTGAGCTCTGCTACGGCATTTAATCCGTTTCCATAAGAACAATGTAGATTGTTAACCATAAACTGAATAAACTAAGTAGAAATTTAGAAGGGTAGATCGATCGTCAGTGAGTTGTCAGTGCTAGTCGCTTAGTTACCTGTCATCAACGACAGCAGTACCTTCCAAGAGGCATCTCCGAACAGGCCAGATCGCGGAAGCTCTGTGCATTCAGGGGGTGGACTTTTAGTTAAATCAAGTCATTCAGCTGTGACACACTTTCGGACGTGAAGCCGGTTACAATCTAACTACCGAGCTATCTGGAGCCCAAGTATTAGGCGAGTCGGGTAACACTTTACCGAAAAAGTTGTTTCCCGTACCTTATTCAGAGTGGCACAAAAGACTATGCGGACAGGTATGGAGGTACGAAGTCTGTGCCTCAAGAATACAACTCTCCTGGAATAGGCCTCGAGTGACTAGACGTGTGTTATTCATATTATCTGACCCAGTATGTGGAATTATTGTTACCTAAAAAAATGATGGTCGAACTCAGACGGTAAGCCTTTTCGTTCTTTTCGTAATCTGGTTTTCCTCCAGCCTCAATGTGCAGCATCGGTGTTCAGGAATTATGAGGCAAGGGAATTGAGCAGTAAATAGACCAAGCCCTCAACTCAGTGCGCAAAACATACCTTCCATGGTCTCTCCACTTTCTGCTTGCAGTCGCGCAATTTTTCCGCTGAGTTCTATGATATCATTTTCCATCCGTTCGAATACAGCCAGGTCGCCTTGAATGGATCTGGCTAAAGCTTCGTCCGCATGGCATGCTTCCAGACGTGCAGTCTCCTGTGAAGAAAAAGTGGAAAGTCCCATGTGGATAGTCTTCACAAGTTATCGGAGAAAATGCTTTCTTCAGAGCCCAGAAAATGGCTTGTCTATGCACAGGGTCGTATCAGAATTGTCTTCCAACAACCCATCCAACGAACACATGGTTTGGCAGCTTCTAGGTCATTATTCGATGGTGTAAGTGGCGATAGTGCATTGGGTTGTGAGGGTAAGGTGCCACATGGGTTTTGGATTAGGGGTAGCACTGACCAGTCACCTTCTATAGCCCGGGGTTCCATTCTACCTGTGTTAGACAATATTCAGTACCAAATGGATATTCGGGCTTGGTAATTGTGGGTTATCGCGAGTTGGTGCGATTGGCAATCTGTGAGCGCCTTTTTCGCTTATTCCCTCCTGCGAGCCGACAGGCCTGGTCCAATTTCCTCTAAGCTGCAAGCTAATCGCAAGGAAACGACAGAGAGATGTATGGCTACTAGGCAAAACCACTGGAGCAAAAGAAAAAAAGGCGTACAGACTCGTGAAGCGCAAGCGGTAGGCTACCTGCAGCAATCTGAAAGACGATCAAACAAACATAATACTTTCTGGAGCTTAGATACCAAACTTGATAGTAGAACTGGATCTGACCTAACATATACTCAAAAGATGGAATACTGATACAACCTAGGCTACCTAATCTGAAAGACGATCAAACAAACATAATACTTTCTGGAGCTTAGATACCAAACTTGATAGTAGAACTGGATCTGACCTAACCTAAACTCAAAAGATGGAATACTGATACAACACTGACGCGATACCGATAATATATATATATATATATATATATAT